TGCTTCATGTTGTCTGTCACTGCTGCTTCATGTTGTCTGCCACTGCTACCTCATGTTGTCTGCCACTGCTGCTTCATGTTGTCTGCCACTGCTGCTTCATGTTGTCTGCCACTGCTACCTCATGTTGTCTGTCACTGCTGCTTCATGTTGTCTGCCACTGCTGCTTCATGTTGTCTACCACTGCTACCTCATGTTGTCTGCCACTGCTGCTTCATGTTGTCTGCACTGCTACTGTTGTCTGCACTGCTGTTGTTGCTTGCCACTGTACTTCATGTTGTCTGCCACTGCTGCTTCATGTTGTCTGCCACTGCTGCTTCATGTGTCTGCACTGCGCTTCATGTTGTCTGCACTGCTACCTCATGTTGTCTGCCACTGCTGCTTCATGTTGTCTGCCACTGCTACCTCATGTTGTCTGCACTGCTACCTCATGTTGTCTGCCACTGCTGCTTCATGTTGTCTGCCACTGCTACCTCATGTTGTCTGCACTGCTGCTTCATGTTGTCTGCCACTGCTGCTTCATGTTGTCTGCCACTGCTACTCATGTTGTCTGCCACTGCTGCTTCATGTTGTCTGCCACTGCTGCTTCATGTTGTCTGCCACTGCTACCTCATGTTGTCTGCCACTGCTACCTCATGTTGTCTGTCACTGCTGCTTCATGTTGTCTGCCACTGCTGCTTCATGTTGTCTGCCACTGCTACTTCATGTTGTCTGCCATGCTCTCATGTTGTCTGCCACTGCTGCTTCATGTTGTCTGCCACTGCTCTCATGTTGTCTGCCACTGCTACCTCATGTTGTCTGCCACTGCTACCTCATGTTGTCTGCCACTGCTGCTTCATGTTGTCTGCCACTGCTGCTTCATGTTGTCTGCCACTGCTATTCATATTGTCTGCCACTGCGCTTCATGTTGTCTGTCACTGCTGCTTCATGTTGTCTGCCTGCATCATGTTGTCTGCTGCTTCATGTTGTCTGCCACTGCTGCTTCATGTTGTCTGCCACTGCTGCTTCATGTTGTCTGCCACTGCTACCTCATGTTGTCTGCCACTGCTGCTTCATGTTGTCTGCTCACTGCTGCTTCCTCATGATGTCTGCCACTGCTACCTCATGTTGTCTGCCACTGCTGCTTCATGTTGTCTGCCACTGCTGCTTCATGTTGTCTGCCACTGCTGCTTCATGTTGTCTGCCACTGCTGCTTCATGTTGTCTGCCACTGCTGCTTCATGTTGTCTGTCCACTGCTGCTTCATGTTGTCTGCCACTGCTGCTTCATGTTGTCTGTCACTGCTGCTTCATGTGTCTGTCACTGCTACTTCAGATTGTTGCCACTGCTGCTTCATGTTGTTCTGTCACTGTTGCTCATGTTGTCTGCCACTGCTACCTCATGTTGTCTGCACTGCTGCTTCATGTTGTCTGCCACTGCTGCTTCATGTTGTCTGCCACTGCTGCTTCATGTTGTCTGCCACTGCTGCTTCATGTTGTCTGTCACTGCTGCTTCATGTTGTCTGCCACTGCTGCTTCATGTTGTCTGCCACTGCTGCTTCATGTTGTCTGCCACTGCTGCTTCATGTTGTCTGCCACTGCTACCTCATGATGTCTGCCACTGCTGCTTCATGTTGTCTGCCACTGCTGCCTTCATGTTGTCTGCCACTGCTACCTCATGATGTCTGCCACTGTTGCTTCATGTTGTCTGCCACTGCTGCTTCATGTTGTCTGTCACTGCTGCTTCATGTTGTCTGTCACTGCTGCTTCATGTTGTCTGCCACTGCTGCTTCATGTTGTCTGCCACTGCTGCTTCATGTTGTCTGTCACTGCTGCTTCATGTTGTCTGCCACTGCTGCTTCATGTTGTCTGCCACTGTTGCTTCATGTTGTCTGCCACTGCTGCTTCATGTTGTCTGTCACTGTTGCTTCATGTTGTCTGTCACTGCTGCTTCATGTTGTCTGTCACTGCTGCTTCATGTTGTCTGCCACTGCTGCTTCATGTTGTCTGTCACTGCTACCTCATGTTGTCTGTCACTGCTGCTTCATGTTGTCTGCCACTGCTGTTCATTTTGCATGTGCTTATGTCTGTCACTGTTGCTTCATGTTGTCTGTCACTGCTGCTTCATGTTGTCTGTCACTGCTGCTTGCTAATGTTGTCTGCCACTGCTGCTTCATGTTGTCTGTCACTGCTGCTATGTTGTCTGTCACTGTGCTTCATGTGTCTGCCACTGCTGCTTCATGTTGTCTGCCACTGCTCTTCATGTTGTCTGCCACTGCTACCTCATGATGTCTACCACGTGTAGTGTCGCCAAAGCTAATCTGAACACTTCATGTGTCTAGCTATTCTTGATCTACAATTTCAAGAGAATATTCTTTTGCATCATTGAAACTTCATTAAAATCCAATAAATCTTATTTTTGTAGTATATCTTCCATTCTATCACATGAGACCAAATAAAAAGAGAATACAACCATAAAAACCATATGAAAATATACTGCTAAGGGAGGCTAATGGGTGAGAAGTGAACTCTGTTATTTATGGTCTGATTTCTTTCACTTTTGGTGTACGTTAAGAAGCATCTTTTCATCATACATTGCCCAAGTTTCAATAAGACAGTCCAACAAACAACTTAGATACAATTCCCTAGATCAAGAACAAGAGCCCCCTCACCAGTGTCAATTAACCTCCCTTGAGGCCTGCTCGCATCTAGAAATTTTGCTCATGTCTGGAAACAAAAAATCGACCGAGCAGCTGCTTGTATCTGGAAAAACTTGCACATGGATGCACTCGTAAGTAGAGGTTCCACTGGACATGCATTACAAACAATAGCAAAGCAAACAGCCTATTTCATCTTTCTGCTCATCGCATCTCTTACTTCTCCCTTCCACTTTGGAAAGTCCTTGTTCCCAATTTGCCCTTCTCCTCTTGCAGTTTCAGTCTCATTTCACTGCTTTGGACTCTTGCTCACACATCTTTGATCAGTTCCAACCACAATGTGATACTACTGAAAACTCAAAAAACAACTGAGAGTGTTTGATACATAGATATTTTTCTTGATCATGTGACTGCGGCAGCCAGTTAATATTTTCATGGCAGACATGTGTACAGTTCTCATTGCTGTTTTCCTCACTGCTACTATACCCATCTTAGCTGTATGACCCTTGTGAGGTTAGCACTTAGCCACCTGTGGCCTGGTGGCTAAAGCTCTCGCTTCACACATGGAGGGCCTGGGTTCGATTCCCGGTGGGGCAAAAACATTTCAACATGTTTCCTTACACCTGTTGTCGTGTTCACCTAGCAGCAAATAGGTACCTGGGTGTTAGTTGACTAGTGTGGGTTGCATCCTGGGGGACAAGATTGAGGACCCCAATGGAAATAAGTTAGACAGTCCTCGATGATGCACTGGCTTTCTTGGGTTATCCTGGATGGCTAACCCTCCAGGGTTAAAAAAACGAAGAAAATCTTATCTATTTTAACTTGTCATCTACAGTAATTTCAAACTGAAAAATGCATTGCATGTGATTCAGATCTTTGATTAGCACCTCCATGTTTTTCACATGCAATGCTGGTTATTCTGTAAATTCTCTATGGCTTTTTTAGATGAAAATGATTTACAACAATTAATTCTGACATTCCTTCTTTTGCCCTTAAGGTCGCCCTCATCACTTTCACCTTTTTTCCCTCTACTAACTGCTTCACCTTTGCCATGCAGCACTGAATGACACAAACAAGTTTAATGCTTTTCATGATTATGATAAAAACACAGAAAATAATGACTCACTGTTCACTTAACAACACCAATTCTGCCATTACATCATCTCACAAATATTTCACAGCTGCATAACACAGCACAAGCTTAATACATGCCACTGCTTAACTTTAAAACCAAGCATCAATCATTGTATCTCACTGAACTGTCAGTTCTCATCCCCACACCTGTATGAAAAGCTACCACCTGTTGCTTGATGCCAAGTGACCTGCATAACATACCAAAATCAGTAGACTACTACTTCACATTCATTTGACCTTTGTCTTGCTTATGCTGAACTATTGAGAATGGGTACAGTATATTCCTCGGGCCTTGAAGCCTTCCTCTTCAGGCTGGATGATGCCCACTATTATAGTTTACATTTTGTGGCTTCTAAAGTTATTTCTTTACAGGATCACATGATACCCAATGCCTTCATTCTTTGCTCTTTTTCATTATATAACAACCTACATTCTCACAAATGATATTGAGTCTAATAATTTCCATCAACATCCCTCCTTATTGTAGTTTTTTAATCTCAGTATTCAAGCCCTTGGAGATCCTTTTCTATTCCTCATTTTGTCATTCTTCCTGCCTCTCTGTTTCTCACTTTCACTTTAGAAATATCCATATGTTCCCTATCTTTCCATCCCTCCTTCCCTTTCTAATGACTTCTTTGTCTACCTCTCCTAAAATTTTTAATCATACACTCTGATATATGTACTCTGTTTACCATGATGGCTCCAAATTATCTGCAGGAGAGGGGAATGCTTCTGTCTACCTACCAATAAATTTTTTAAATGTGTTTTTGGCAGTCTGTTAATATATTTACAATCGAACTGTATGCCTTAACTGCAGCTATCGTCCACATTGTTAACATGTCTGCCTCATCATTTGTTGCCATGTCTGATTTTTACAGCACATTGCAAGTCGATCTTTCAAATCTTCGTGTGCTTTGCATTCAGTATTATCTCTATTGCATCTTTACAAGATAAAAGAGTTGTCTTTTGCTAGATTTTTCAGTTATTTTGGGTAATGAACTTGGAAGGTTCCTTTCCATGTTTAGTGGTTTGCAATCTTCTGACAGACTAGAATCAACCAGCTTTCACCTGGCACATTTGAGAGTGCTGGTAGCATCATTATTCCATAACAAATTAATTTTCTTACGACAAAACCACATCTGGGCTACCTGAGATAGTGATTCAGATAAATTAAAATTAGATTCTAGAGATACTGGATACTGTCTTAAAATCTAAAACATTAAAAGCAATTTTACCTGAGGGAATAAGATCCTTAATGCGCGAGTTGGTTTCGTTTTCCACAGTTGTGTTTATCTCTTTCCGTACTTTTTCATCTTCTTCAAAATTTACTGTCTTTGAGGAGCTGAGGTACTTTTCTTTCAAGATGTTGTTGAAGTCACTCAAGACAGTTAATCTGTCAGATATGTATGCCATATTGGATGTCCTTAGCTCATAGTGAATTACTTCAGTCTGTAATGCAATATAAAAAATATAAGAAATTTGTTCATGCTAATTCTTAACTCTACCAAATAATAAATATTTAAAGAAAGGAAAATATGATCACTGGTAAATGCCTAAATCCTATAATATACATTAAACCCACAAAAATATTAATTATGCATAACAATGTCTAATACAGTATCAACATTATTGTTTGGAACCAGAAAGGCAAAACTTCAGAGAAATTATCTCAGTTGAAGAAATATCATTTACTGTTTATGACTTTGTATAAGTCGACTTTTTAGGCATAACATTTTTGTATCCTAAACTAAAGGTTGACTAATAGGCTGAGTATAAAAGTTGCTGATGCATGGTAGAGGTGAAAATAAGGCCACAGTACATTACTGTAGCTGGAAAGTAACTCCACTAACCTACTGATGCTATGATGTTAGTACCGTAACTTATATCACAGTTTGTATATATGTTGGTAGAATTATCGACAATATGTAAAGTAAAAAGACACAAGTGCAACTAATGTGACATTTTATTGTGGCAACGTTTCGCTCTCCAGGAGCTTTGTCAAGCCGTTACCAAGCTATTACGTAATGGCTTGACAAAGCTCCTGGAGAGTGAAACGTTGCCACAATAAAATGTCACATTGGCTGCACTTGTGTCCTTTTACTTTATATATCACAGTTGCAAGTTTTATTTGCTACTTATTACATGTTTTATTTGGGTTGCTCAGACACACATTTTTAATAAAAAGAATGTCAAGTTTTATTCAAAATAATACCTAAAATATGAGGAGGATAAAGGCCTTCCTGTCACAAACAAACACAACTGGACAACATCTCAGATGTTGGATGCAACATCTGAGATGTTGCACCTATCATATGCCTTTTCTAAATCCATAAATGCAATGAAAACTTCCCTACTTTTATCTAAATACTGTTCACATCTGTATATGCTTCAATGTAAACACCTGATCTACACATCCCCTGCCCTTTCTAAAGCCTCCTTGCTCATTTGCAATCCTGCCCTCTGTCTTACCACTAATTCTTTCAATAATAACCCTAAAACACACTTTACCTGGTATACTCAGTAAACTTATTCCCGTATAATTTTTACAATCTCTTTCGTCCCCCTTCCCTTTATATAAAGGAATTATACATGCTCTTTGCCAATCCCTAGGTATCTTCCCCTCTTTCATACATTAAACAAAAATATGAATCACTCCAACACTATATCTCCCCCTGTTTTTAACATTTCTTTCATGATCCCGTCAGTTCCAACTGCTTTACCCCCTTTCATTCTATGTAATGCCTCCTGCACCTCCCCCACACTCATATCCTGCTCTTCTTTGCTCCTAAAAGATGTTATACCTCCCTGGCCAGTACATGAAATTACTGCCTCCCTCTCTTCATCAACATTTAAAAGTTCCTCAAAATATTCCTGCCATGTACCCAATACCTCCAGTTCCCCATCCAGTGGCAGCTCGTAGCGCCAGTAATACCTATACTATCATACCACATCAAACTTCTATTTTTAGTCATTTTTATCTTGTTTCAACAAAAAAAAATAAAAAAATTCGCTTATAAATACATTGAAAACAACATACAACAGATTTTTCCTGTAATATATTTGTCAGATGCAAATTATTTTAGCGTAAGGTTGATGAAGTCATACGTCTGGCAGTGAGCATCTGGGGGGACTGCAGCTCTGCAGCTCCTATGGATGAGCTGCCACTGTCCCCATCTACTAGCTCACTACTCTGTTTTTAACTGACAAATCCATTCGTTCTCTAGGCTTTTTTAACTTATCTCACTCCAAAATTTCTTCTTATTCTCAGCAAAAATTTTTGACAGTGCCTCTCCCACTCTATTATTTGCTCTTTTTTGCACTCTCTTCACCTTTCTTTTACTCTCCATATACTCTGCTCTTTTATAACAATTCTGCTCTGTAAAACCTCTCATAAGTTACCTTTTTCTCTTTCATTCCACCCTTTACCTCATCATTCCACCAATCATTCTTCTTTCCTCCTGCACCCACCCTCCTATAGCCACAAACTTCTGCCCCACATTCTAATACAGTGGACCCCCGCATAACGATTACCTCCGAATGCGACCAATTATGTAAGTGTATTTATGTAAGTGCGTTTGTACATGTATGTTTGGGGGTCTGAAATGGACTAATCTACTTCACAATATTCCTTATGGGAATAAATTCGGTCAGTACTGGCACCTGAACATACTTATGGAGTGAAAAAATATCGTTAACCGGGGGTCCACTGTACTGCATTTTTAAAACTATCCTATCCCTCTTCAACCATCCCCCCACTACCCATATTTGCACTAGCCCACCTTTCTGCCAATAGTTGCTTATATCTCACCCTAACTTCCTCCTCCCTTAGTTCATAAACTTTCACCTCTCTCTTACTTACTGTTGCCATTTTTCTTTTGTCCCATCTACCTCTTACTCTAACTGTAGCTACAACTAGATAATGATCCAATATATCTGTTGCCCCTCTAAAAACATGTACATCCTGAAGCCTACTCATCAACCTTTTATCCACCAATACATAATCTAACAAACTACAGTGGACCCCCGCTTAACGATCACCTCTCAATGCGACCAATTATGTAAGTGTATTTATGTAAGTGCGTTTGTACGTGTATGTTTGGGGGTCTGAAATGGACTGATCTACTTCACAATATTCCTTATGGGAACAAATTCGGTCAGTACTGGCAGCTGAACATACTTCTGGAATGAAAAAATATCGTTAACCGGGGGTCCACTGTACTTTCATTACGTGTTAAGGAAATGTCACTCTGTCTTACTTTTTTTGGGTTATCCTAGGTACTCTACACATATGTTGCTATGTATGATAATCTATGCAACTGTATTTGCATATACCTGAATAAACTTACATACTTACTAATCATACCTTGTATACTTATTTATCCTCTTTTTCATAAAATATGTATTACTTATTACCAAACCTCTTTCTGCACATAGTTCAATTAAAGGCTCCCCATTTTCATTTATCCCTGGCACCCCAAATTTACCTACTACTCCCTTCACAACATTTTTACCCACTTTAGCATTACAGTGGAACCTCAAGTTTTGTACTTAATCCGTTCCAGGAGCTAGTACTAAAGTCGAACCGTACTAAAGTCAAAGCAATATTTCCAATAAGAAATAATTTAAATCTAATTAATCCGTTCCAGACCCACAAAAATATTCACAAAAAATACATTTTTTAAAGAATAACTACAGTATTAGAATGTGGGGCAGAAGTTTGTGGCTATAGGAGGGTGGGTGCAGGAGGAAAGAGGAGTGATTGGTGGAATGAAGTAAAGGGTGTGATAAAAGGGAAAAAGGTAGCTTATGAGAGGTATTTACAAAGCAGAAGTGTTATAAGAAGAGCAGAGTATTTAAGGAGAGTAAAAGAAAGGTGAAGAGAGTGGTGAGAGAGTGCAAAAGGAAAGCAGATGGTAGAGTGGGAGAGGCACTGTCAAGAAATTTTAATGAAAATAAGAAAAAAATTTGGAGTGAGTTAAACAAGTTAAGAAAGCCTAGGGAACAAATCGATTTGTCAGTTAAAAACAGAGTAGGGGAGTTAGTAGATGGGGAGATGGAGGTTTTGGGTAGATGGAGAGAATATTTTGAGGAACTTTTAAATGTCGACGAAGAAAGAGAGGCGGTAATTTCAAGCACTGGCCAGGGAGGTATACCATCTTTTAGGAATGAAGAAGAGCAGGATGCGAGTGGGGGGGAGGTGCGTGAGGCATTACGTAGAATGAAAGGGGGTAAAGCAGCTGGAACTGACGGGATTATGACAGAAATGTTAAAAGCAGGGGGGGACAGTGTTGGAATGGTTGGTATTTTTGTTTAATAAATGTATGAAAGAGGGGAAGGTACCTAGGGATTGGCAGAGAGCATGTATAGTCCCTTTATATAAAGGGAAGGGGGACAAGAGAGATTGTAAAAATTATCGAGGAATATGTTTACTGAGTATACCAGGAAAAGTACAGTAGGGTTATTATTGAAAGAATTAGAGGTAAGACAGAATGTAGAATTGCGGATGAGCAAGGAGGTTTTAGAGTGGGTAGGGGATGTGTAGATCAAGTGTTTACATTGAAGCATATATGTGAGCAGTATTTAGATAAAGGTAGGGAAGTTTTTATTGCATTTATGGATTTAGAAAAGGCATATGACAGAGTGGATAGGGAAGCAATGTGGCAGATGTTGCAAGTATATGGAATAGGTGGTATGTTATAAAATGCTGTATAGAGTGTTTATGAGGATAGTGAGGCTCAGGTTAGGGTGTATAGAAGAGAGGGAGACTATTTCCCGGAAAAAGTAGGTCTTAGACAGGGATGTGTAATGTCACCATGGTTGTTTAATATATTTATAGATGGGGTTGTAAAAGAAGTAAATGCTAGGGTGCTCGGGAGAGGGGTGGGATTAAATTATGGGGAATTAAATACACAATGGGAAGTGACACAGTTACTTTTTGCTGATGATACTGTGCTTATGGGAGATTCTAAAGAAAAATTGCAAAGGTTAGTGGACGAATTTGGGTGTGTGTAAAGGTAGAAAGTTGAAAGTGAACATAGAAAAGAGTAAGGTGATGAGAGTATCAAATGATTTATATAAAAAAAAAATTGATATCAAATTGGGGAGGAGGAGTAGGGAAAGAAGTGAATGTTTTCAGATATTTGGGAGTTGACATGTCAGGGGATGGATTTATGAAGGATGAGGTTAATCAAAAAATATAAAGAAAAAACAGGTGAGGGTGCATTGGGGTTTATAGTGGAGGCAAAAATGTTATCTGTGGAGGCAAAGAAGGGAATGTATGAAAGTATAGTAGTACCAACACTCTTATATGGGTGCAAAGCTTGGGTTGTAAATGCTGCAATGAGGAGGCTTTTGGAGGCAGTGGAGATGCCCCTGCCCTTAAGGGCAATGTGTGGTGTTAAATATTATGCAGAAAATTTGGAGTGTGGAAATTAGGAGAAGGTGTGGAG